GCTACCATAGGCAATATTCTCTTGTCTAAACCCTGGTGCAAAGAGTGCCTGGCTGCTCGCGGGCAGACCCGGACGGACCTGGACGCCTTGTCCAACCCTGTGTTTTCTAAGCTGGTGAAAGCTTTTTGTAGTTGCTTTTTTGGACAGAAATGATACCACCCCTAGAAGCAAGCGCCTGATTTTATCCTCTTGGGATGTGCAATAATGTTGAACTCTGGCTCCTCAGGTGGGGAGAGAGGGTATTTGTAGGAGGTGCCTATTTTTTGTTTGTTTTTTTTTTACAGCAAAACTACAAAATTTGTGGAGTTTTGTCACCTGGGCCTGCAGATTGAGCATTTATATTTTTGTAGAATTCTGTAACTGTTCCCAAATGAAGGTGGGAGATTTGGGTAGGGGAGCTCTGGGGTCTTTTTTCCCTTCTAGTGGCTGGAGGATTATGGGTCAAGAGGAAGCCAGAGGGCTGACAGCAGCCCCTCCCTCCCTGAGAACCGTCCTTACCCACTCCTGCCCTGTCAGCACAGCAGCCCTGTTAACAGGGTAGTTACTTAGGGCTACTCTGAGCATGCCTGGTTCTTCTTGGGGACCCCTTTCTCAGTCCTCTCTTCCCAGTAAGGGCCAAGGCAGCTTGTTGGGGGTACACTGGCTATGATTTTGGGTGCTCTCCAAAAAGAAAGGTACCTCGCTCCCTCCTCAACCACCGTACAAGAGTGGAAGGTTTCTCCGGAAGGAGGCAGTGCCCGCCTGGAGGGGGGCATCTTGGTAGTGATGCAGAAACAGTAACAGCAGAATTGGGGGAGACCATTGTGACCTGTCCCCCAAACATGTAACATCTTTATCAATGGTGGAAACTGTTATGTCTCATTAAAAGGGTTTTGAAGTGGAAGTAATGACAGTGCTGAATCCTATTAACACTAGTAATAATAACGATGATGCTAACCTTGTGATGCTTGTCTGGGTGGTTATTTGATTCTGCTCCAGGATACACGGGTGGCGGGGTGGAGAGACCTGAAGGGGACTGGGTGGGGAGAGGCTTGGGGAGGCAGCAGGTCTTGGATGCAGGCCTCCAGGGGCAGCGGCTCCAGGGGTGCAGGGGCTTTGGGAGGTAAGAATGTCTCACCTAACACTTCTGCCCTCAACCTTCTCCTTGGAGTTCAGAGGAAATTGTGCCTGTATGCCCCCACCTCGGGCTTGGCTGCTTCTGCTTCCTCCACCCCCAAGACTCCAGGAAAAGGTCTGTCTGGGGGCGGGGGGAGCTGAGCTGGTGCTAAAAACAAATCCGAGGCTCATATGCAGTCTCTCACTCCTCTCAACACCCTAGCAAGAGAAGGTACCATTGCTGTCTTCATTTTTTCCTTGAGGCAATGAGTTCAGAGAGGTTAAGTGACTTGTCCAAGGTCACGCAGCCAGGAAGTATCAGAGCTGGGATTTGGCCAACCTGCAGCCATTGGCTTCACACTACCCCAGTCTCTTCTCATGGTGGAGGGAATGGGACAAACATAGCGGAAGGAATCCTGTTTGAGAAATGACTCTCCAGGGAGCCCTTTCCAAAGCAGTCACATTCATGTTCATAGAAACATACAACGTGTTCCCATAACCTGGAATATTCAGAGGCTTAGAGAGGCCCACAGCCTCCCCCACCTTGCAGGATGCCAGCCTTTGACCACAGGGTACAGTGGGGAGGGGGCTCAACCACTGGAGAAGGTGTCCCTCAGCTCCACGTGCTGTTGAGGGCCTGGCCAAAGTGGCTCTGCAGTCCCAGGCCCCACCCTTTCCTGTAGGATCCTGCCTTTTAACCTCATGCCACCTGCCTTCCTTCCCCACCTCCTCCCACGCTTTCTCTCTTCCTGTCCTTTACCCTTGCCCCACCCACTTTCCAAACAGTAGGCCTCGCCCACTTTCCAAACAGCTTTCCCTTCCATTGGCACCCCTAGCCACCCCCATCTCAGCCTGGTGCCCCACAGCCACCCCTCCCTGGGCCAGCTGAGAGCCCCAACCTGTGGGGCTGGTGACAGCGATGCAGTGAGGACATTGAACACTAGGTGGCAGCACAAGGCACCCTCACCTGGTGCCACCCCATGCCCCTGCTGCAGAGGGACCAAGCCTGGTAGAGGACACCAACCAACACCAATGCACACTTTCTATGGACAGGTCACTGTATAATCCCCAAATAAGGAAACAAATGGGCTGGCAGGGCTGAACGACTGAATTGTGCATGGTGAATCCCAGACTGGAATCCCAGCCTTCGACTGCTGAGCCCAGCTTGTCCAAGGACCCTGCCTAAGGCCAATGACGCAGGACAAATGCAGGACAGCTGCCCCCAGGAGAGTAATGAACTCTCAAAAGCAAGCTTGGGTATGGTCTGCTGGCCCCTCTGAGGGAGGAACAAGGTGAGTCAAGGAGGCAGCCCCTAGCAGGGCCCCAGGAGGGAATTCCACTAAGCGCTTTGAAACTCGATGTGTCTCAGCCCCGGTGCAGGTGTGGGAGCTGCTGACTGTGTCCAGCAGAGCTAATTAATTCTTCTTTGCTTTGAAAACTCCTGAGTTGAGCGGCAGAGCCAGCACTCACAGCCATGCTAAAACAGATGCAAATGCAGTTTGGGGGTGGAGGGGCAGCCTGCGCTTTGGGCACCCCTGCAGAGGGCTGCAAAGGGGGCCAGTACGCCCCCCGCCAGGCTGGAGTCTGGAGGAAATAGGCCTGCTGCATGAGAGGCGTGAAGGGGGCAGCTGGAGTTGGGAGATGGAGGTCGGTTTGGGGATGATCCAGGCCTTAGAGGAGCCAGAGGGGACTATGAGGAACCAGGCAATGAAGTGAAGGGGAAGACCAGCAGCCTGGCTCTGCCCCCCACCCTCACCTTGCCTGTTTCAATCCAATTCTCCCCCTTTGCAGCATTTCCTGTCCCTGGGTCTCCCCCACCCCCTTGCTCTTCTTTCTTCTTGTCTCTGCTGTCACTACTGCTCTGAGCCAGTACCTTGCAATTATCTTATCTTTCCATCTCCTTGCCAGGAAATCCCTGATGCTGGCTTCCCCTGGGATGCTCACTAGCTGTCGGGGGAGGCACAACACACACTCTGTGCTCTGTTCATCCTGCTGGCGCTGCAGTCAGCTGGGGAGGGAGGAGGGGGCTTGGCCACTGAGGCTGGGGGAGCTTTGGTCATCTCTCTGCCACAGCCCAACCCACGGGGTCCTTATTGCTCCTCTCAGGAGCCTTCCAGCTGGACACATCTTGGTTCTGAATACTCAAAAGCAGAGTGGGGAGTGCCCACTCCTGGGGCTGTACCTAATGTCACTGTGGCCTCTTCTTAGGAAACTTGTTTAGTCAGTCAACAAACATTCCCTGAGGATCAGCTTTGCCAGGCACTGTGCTAGGTGCTGAGGATAGAGACAAGCAAAGACTCGGTCCCTATCCTCAAGGTGTTCACAGTCTTCTGGGGAAGGTGAGCAAGACACTCAGTGATTACAATACAGGGAGAAAGGCTGTGTGGCAGAAGGGTCCCTAATCCAGGATCAGGGTGGAGGCTTCAAAGAAGGCTTTCAGGAAGCAGGAGGAGGCTTGAGCAAAATCTTGAAGGATGAGTAGAGTTTGCCAGGTGCAGGAAGAGAGGCGGGGTATAGGGTAAAGTATGCTAAGCAACCTTGCAGGCAGGCCCGGGAACATGGGTGCCACAGTGAATGATACAGGACATTCCCAAAGAGACTGCGTGGAAACAGCTGGGTTCCGAAGACGGGTGGCTCATCCTGCCTCTGCCGGGATACGCTCTGTGGCCCTGGACAAGTTCTGGGGCTTCTCAGGGACTCAATTTTCCTGCTCCGGTGAGGAGAACAGCCGGAACAATAACGTCCTCGAAGTATTATGGTTACTATTCAAGGGCTCTGGGAAAGGAATGGACGTTCCATGAGGGGCTGGGAGGAGAACTTCAGAGAGGAGGGGTGAGTCCCCAGTGCCTCAAGAGAGATAAGGGAAGGCAAGGATCTCCAAGGGCCCCCGCTGTGATCTCCGATGTCCCACCCAGTACCTCAGGCTTGAGAATGGTGCTCCAGAGGCAAGATGAAAAGGCTGGGGCAAAAAGAGAAGGAACTTCAGCCCCAACACTGAAGATTCTGGCCCCAGACTGGAGCTCTAACTCTTGGATAGCCTGGTCAGCCCTGGGCTGGAGGGCTTTGGGTGGGAGCCCAGGCTGATCCTGGGCAACCCATCTCAGGAAGGAGGGCTGCTTGGAGGACTCGTCTCCCCAAGGGCTCCAAACGCCCCCAAGCCCAAAGCCAGCCTTCCTGGTTCATCGGGGTGTCTGCGACCTCTGCAAAGCTCAGAGGAGGAAATGGAGAAGAGGGCAGGCAGAGGATGCTGATGGGTAGATGGAGGGGGAAGTCCAGGGGCAGAGGGGTGAGAACCACCAGGAGGGCTGTGAGGAGGGTATGGCTGCTGAAGCCCTGACCCGGGCCGGGGAGGGTAGAGTACTCCCAGCTGCTTGGGCCATAGAATCCTAGATTGTCAGGACTGGAAGAGACCTTAGATGGCATCTTGTCCAAGTTGCTCCAGAAACTGAGTCTCAGAGACATCAAAGGGCTTGTCAAGGTCACACAGTATACAAAAGGCACTGCCTGCAGTATAGAGGGGGGATTGGAGGTGACTCATTTGGTCCCTGCCCTTGGGGACCTCTTAGACTGGCAAGGAAGAGACTCTTCATGACTAAATATAACCGAAGGCACACTGTGACGAGAGTGCAAAAGCTCTGCGAAGCCTTTGCCCAGAGGTAGGGAGGTGAGTGTCAGGGAAGGGGGAAGTCAAAGAGAGGGCTAGGGGGCTTGCCCAGTGCAGGGGGAGGGCCTCCCATCCAGCTGCTCGGGAGGGGGAGACTTGGCCCCCACTCCCATCCGTGCCCACTCACATCTCCCTTATGATAGCCAATGGCCAGAGAGAAGTCCCCTTCTGATGACTTCCTGCCTGTCCAGAGGGACTGGAGGGGCCAGCTGCTCCTGTACCATCTTGCTGACTCCCGCCGATGCCTGCCGCTGAGCAGCCAAGGAAGGAAACACCTTCTCCTGAGAACAAGTGCCAGAGAAGGGATCACCAGGATGAACTTGGGCAGATCCTGCAGGTGGAGACGAGGTGGGGTGGGGGGAACAGGGGAGAGATGGGTCAAGGAAAGAGTTCCCTGGGGAGAATTCCTTCTCGACCCCAAGAAGGGGTAGTGGGTTGGCTTTTGGGACCCTGTTAGGGAAGACAGGGTGGCAGGAGGTGGTGGTAGGGAGAGGAACAGAGGGATCCCAACATGGCCAAACTGGAGGTGAGTGGAAGCTGGAGCCCACTGACCTCAAACCCATTTTACAGATGGGAAATGTGGGGTCCCAGTCAAAGGAGGAAGGTGCTAATGTGGGGCTCTTCCTGGGGCATCACCTGCCCATCCCCCACCCTGACCAGGCTGAAGTGGAGGAATTTAAAAATATTGGGTGCCTTACAATATGCTTAATACTTTACTTACCTTCCCCATTTAACCCTATAAGGCCGGTACTATGACTCTCCCTATTTTACAGATGTGAAGGCTGAAGGACAGAGAGGCCCTGAAGCGTCACGTGCAAATCAGGGAGCCACAAACCCTCAGGAAGGCTGCAATTTAAGAGACTCAGCGAAGAGCTCACCATCCGAGTTGGGACCTCCCCGCCTCCACACCCAGACACATACGGGTGCACACGCACACATTACGTGAACATCGCGATTTGATGTCTGCCAGCTGTCTCTGCTGATTTGTGGGGACAGGTTTTCTTCCGGATTGTCTAAGTGCACAAGCTCTTCCATTTTACAGATGGTAAACTGAGGTCCAGAGATGAACGTGACCTAATCAGGGATTTTATTCATGGAGGGAGGGTTGCTAAGTCCCTCTCCACGTATCCTCTGACTTATCTGGCCCCGGTGGAGTGGTCCAGGATGGGAGCGGCTGTGTGCCCCCGCTTCCCACTTGCAAACAGACTCTGCTCCGCACCATCTGTCTCTGTTCAGGGGCGTCTCTCCGGCGTGGTCCAAGGGCTAAGGCGCTGTCTCTGGCTCAGTGACCCCACCCTCACCACCACCACCCCAAAGTCCCTCCCGCTGGCGCCGCAGTTACATGGAGGTGCTGTCGCAACTCGCCGTGACCGTCACTGGAGAGCTGGACCCAGAGGGCCCGGGGGCGGGGGTGGAGGATGAGGAGCGGGCCGGGGCGGAGCACAGGGCGGAGGCAGCTCCCGGCGCTTGGGGCTGCCGGGCCGGACTAAGTCCACGCTCGACAGCCTCACTGCCGCTCCTCGGCCCCATGGACGCCCTGTGCGGCTCCGGGGAGCTGGGCTCCAAGTTCTGGGTAAGGCGCGGGGCTCTGTGGCAGGTTTGGCGGGGCCGGGGACAGCCGGGGGCCGCCTGATACCCGCTGCCTGCCTTCCGTGGCGAAAGGACGCTGGGAGGGGCGTCAGGCCGTGCTGCGCAGAGCCGGATCCTACTCAGTGTCTGGGACATGCTTTGACGTGCAATCCCTCGCTGCACGGAGGAGCCCGGGAAAGCCAGGCGCAAGGCTCCTCGCGGGCACAGTGGATGGCATCCTGGAACCGGGAGGTATCCCCACGTGCTGCCTAGCTTTTCTCGAAACTAAGCGCAGGGTGCAGAAGGGGCGTTTCCACATAAGTTCCCTTCCTGGTGGACCCTTCAGCGCCTGCACCATGGTCTAGGGCTCGGTTGCCTACCCCTCACGCCTGTCCCGAGACTCCCAGGGTATCCAGAGCCCCAGCTCAACCAGATGCTTTCCAAGGCTGGCTCCACAGGGCCCCACCTTTCTGGAAAGGGCTTCTGCTATCTTCTCTGGGCTGCAGGTCTGAGAGTAGGCCCTTAACCACCCTGGCCAATGGCGGGAGAGACGACCCCACTGAGGAGACTGGCACTTAGAAGTACAGGGCATCAGGATTCCCAGGTCCAAAAACGCGCTGCCTTTGAGGCAATTCTGACTCATACTGACCCTATAGGACAGAGTAGAACTACCCCATGGGGTTTCCAAGGCTGTAATCTTTTGGAAGTAGACTGCCACATCTTTCTCCCGCAGAGCGGCTGGTGAGTTCGAACCCCTTTAGCAACCAAGCACTTAACCACTGGGCCACCAGGGCTCCTTTCCCAGGTCCAGCCCTCTCCTTTTTACAGATGGGGAAAGGGAGGTCCAGAGAGAGGTGGGGTGTGGGAGCAGGGGAGAGCCTTTTGACTCTCATGCCAAGTCCCTTTCTAAGACATCAGACAGCTTTTCAGGCTGCTGACCCCAGCCTCCCAGCACAGTTCAGGCACACTGAGTGGAGACAGCCCAAGAGCTTTCTTAAAGCTTTCAAAACCTACTCATAGCGGCAGCCTTGATTGTCATTGCAGCTCTTTAAGTTAAGTGGCGGTTTTACAGATGAGGCTCAGATTAAAGGGGCTGGAATGTGGTCATCCAGGGGTGCGCAGCACAGGCTGGTCTCAAGTGAATCCGCATCTCTAAATCTGCCCCATTTTGGGTATTTGTACATTTATTCCTGGTGGTTGTGTGCCCAGTGTTTGAATGTGTGTGTGTGCAGGGTGTGTGTGCACCTTTGCATGTGTGGGTATGCGTGTTATCCACTGGTGTGTGCATGCATGGGTATGTACGCATGTGCACAGATGTGTGTGCAGATGGGTGTGTGCAGGCGCATGTGTGTACGTAGATGTACATGTATACAGTCAGGAATCACGCTCTTCAGTTGTATTTGGAATGGGCTGGGGAGGTTACATGGGTTTGCTGAATCTTGGGACAATGGAGTACCGGGAAAAAAAAGTCTTTGGAGATCTCACTTTTTCTCTGGGTCACTGAAGTATTTATCTGAAATGGTGCAGCTTCTCTGCCACTGCCCTTCTTGGCCAGCCGCTTAGGAACCCACTCCATTGTCCAGCCTTCTCACTTGTCACCAAAGTTTAAAGGTTATCCAGCACTGCTCTTTGCCTCATGTACTCCCTTTCGCTGACTGCTCGAGCCAGCCTGGTGTGGCTATGGCATGGTCAAGGTGTCAGGGACGGCCATGCAGAGAGCTGGAAAACAAAGGGGTAATTGTGTCCAAGCCTCAAATGCAAAGGCCCCTGTTCCTGAGTGGACAGCTAAACCCTGAGAGCGCAGGACTGTAGAGAAGATGGGCTTCGAGAAACCTGTAGATGGGAACTCACAACTCCCTTCTTGTCCCAAGCTCGGAGATCCATGCAGTTGTGGAATCCAAGAATGTCAGAGCTTAGGCCTTGGAGCATTTAGCTCCTCTTTGTAAATCTGAGGAAACTGGGGCCCAAGGAGGGAATGGATTTGCCAAAGTCACACAACAATCAGTTGCAGAGTGCTGGACTCGGAAGCAGGACCCCTGGGATATGATTCCAACGTTGCCATTACCTAGTGAAGCACCCTTGGGCCTCTGGGCCTCCGGGCCCCTGAACTTCTTGCTGCTCGTGAACTGTACCTCCTCTGAGGACCTTCGGGTCAATGAGAGTCAGCTCATCTGTATTAGATCCAAGGGATGAATCCCTTCTTTGAAGACCTTGGCATATGGTTGTGGGATCTCTGCTAAGATTCCTCAGATGACTACTGCTCTTCTTCACCCTAATGTCCAAATACCCTCCATCCTCCATGTTATTCTCTTGGCTCCAGAAAGCTGGTTCCAGGCTGCACCCAGCCTGGGGTGACTGGGGATGGGGTGAGGAGAAAGCAGGAAGGTTCCCAGTTGCAAGGGTGGACCTCATCTTCTGGGGGTTTGCAGATGAGACAAGGGAGGGTGTGAAGCAGGGAGCTGGAGCCCCAGCTATAGCTTAGTTACCCAAAGGGTCTAGAGCTCTAGGCTACTCATTCATGTGCTACTTTGCATCTTCTTTGCATTGCATATTATGCAGGAATACCTGCTCCTGAACCTTCTCCCTGCTGGTGATCCACCTTGTGGGAAGCAGTTCAGGGTGGCTAGGAAGTACCTGAGCCAGGAGTGAAAAGGATGGGGTGTGGTGGTTCAAGCCCCTCTGTACCACTGGTTTACTCTACTAAGCCTTTCGCTAGCTTGTCCTCACAGCCTTAGTTTCTTCAGCAGTGAAGTGGGAGAATAACCTACCTCCTACCCCCCTCACCAAATTGTTGTGCGGATCAAAGAAGATAGATAGAGAATGTGAACCAATTTTGAGGTCTAGGAAACTTGCTATGGGTGGTAGGTCCTGATATTCCCTGGCAAGAGGAGGGAAGAAAAAGAGAAGTGAGGTTAGAAGGGGGTATTAGGACTAGTAAGACCTATGAGAAGTGGGCTGGCAGGACTGTTGATCTGGGGACTGCCATTTCTGCTGTTTGTCGGGGAGCAGAGGGCTGATCCTGGTTGAATTCATCCACCCTGGCGGTAGCTAAACCTGAGGGCGAGGGACCGAGATCACACACCATGCACTCGGTAAATGATTTATTACTCTCTTTGAATCTTTCTCTCTCACCTCTAACCTCTTGTGGGTAAGCTCCCAGCATCTCTGAGAGTGCCTTTGGGGTTTCCATGGAAAATAAATTCCAAATGAGTGCACAAACAAGCTGCCCAGGGATCATGAGGCCAGAGATGCCTCTAGAACAAAGGAGGTGGTGGTGTCACTTTCCTCTGTCCTGCTGTCCCCGGCTTGGAAGATTACTTTCTGTTGTGAGCAATAGAGGCTGGAGAGACCCAGGGTGGTGAAGGGAGTGCACAGTGCCAGGGCCTGGGAGTGTTTGCCCTCGGGGGGTCTTGATCTGTTTGCAGAATTAGCCTTGATCTGATGGCCCTGGACAGCTCCTAAGAGGCTGCTGTCAACCCCTAAATCACAAGGACCTGACCATCAGAGCTGTCCAAAGATGGTACTGACTGCCTGAGAAGTAGTGGACTCCCTGTCACCTGGGGGTGTATAAGCACATGGTTAGTGACCCCTTGGTAGGGATGCTGGAGAGGGGATTCAAACCAGGGAAGGAGGTGGGGTCCTACCCTGAGATTCTGTGATAACTGGGAAGAGGGAAGGTGTGGCTGATGGGACATAGGCCAGTTCCTCCTATAAGATTTCCAGGTTCCCTCTTTCCTGGTTCTCTACCTGTTCTAGACGTGCAATTTACCTAGCAGCACCTCTTGGTAGAGCCCCTGAGTCTCCCATTGGTCAGGCCTGAGTGGGGAGGGCGCCCTCATTGCCCTCTTGTCTGTTTACCTGCCCTAAACAAAAAAAAAAAAAACCAAACCCATTGCTGTCAAGTCAATTTTGACTCATAGCAACCCTATGAGAAGAACTGCCCCATAGAGTTCCCAAGGAGCACCTGGCAGATTTGAACCACTGACCTTTTGGTTAGCAGCCGTAGCTCTTAACCACTATGCCCTCAGGGTTTCCCTTATCTACGCTAGGGAGTAGCAAAGCCCTGGTTCCTCAGAGGCTCAGCTCCCTGGGCCTCGAACAAAGTGTGTTCTAGCTAGTCCTGACTCTTCCACTTACTAGCTGTGTGACCTTGGGCAAGTCAGTCTCCTTCTCTGGGCTCCAGCTGAGCTTAAGTGGACTCTAGGGTCCCCTTCAGGTCTAGAGTTGTTCAGTGGTGGATCATCTGAGAGGATGATCCTCAAGCTTGGGGCCCAAGGCCATGGTTAGGACCCTCCAAACTTTAGGGCTCCTGGGTGGCAGGGTCTCCTGAATTTCCTCCTGGATCATTGCCCAGTGTGCGTAGGTGGCCACCCAAACATATGAGTAGTGTACAAGGCTCGGATTCCAATATGTTTTGACTCTGAAATGAAGACAATGGCAAGCACAGCTGTGGTGAAACTGGTAGAGGCAGGACCTCTGAGGTGGGAAGGTGGGTGCCAGGCCAAAAAAAAAAAAAAAAGTTGCCTGCAAGTTAATTTTGATTCATGGCAACCCCATGTGCATCAGAGTAGAACTGTGCTCCATAGGGTTTTCAATGGCTGATTTTTTGGAAGTAGATTACCAGACCTTTTTTCTGAGGCACCTCTGGGTTATCAGTTAGCTTATCGGTTAGCAGCCGGGCACATTAACTGTTTGCACTACCCCGGGACTCCCCTGCCAAGCCAGGGCCCCTAGAATGCCCTCCCTCCATCCCACTGGGTGTGGAGAAGCAGGTGCTGGCCAGCTTTGAGCTCTTCATCCCTGGCTGCTGGCTAGGGGATTTGGCCCCTGTGACCCCAGGCTGGCTTCTCCCCAGCTCTGCTGCTCCCCCACGTCCTGGGTCGGTCTGGGTCTCAAGGGCCAGAGTCTTGGAGAAGGAAGTGAGTCAGGGAAGTGGCATTTGTGAAGGAACTGTGTCAAGCTGGCCTGCTGGCCCCCAGAAAAGGAAATGGTCTTGGAGCTTGG